AAAACCAAAAATAAATAAATAAATAAATAAATAAATAAATAAATAAATATTAAAAAAAATAAAGAAAAGGAATAAAAGAGGAGTATAGAGAATAAAGGAGGAAAAAGGGACACATGGAAGGAGGGAGGGTCCCACAGTCCTAGGGGACTCTCTGCAATGACGGACGCCTCTTGTGTCCTGACCACGAGGCCACTAGTCCCAGGTGTCTAATGGGCCTTTGAAGTGGGGCTCAGGCCGTGGAAAAATGGAATTGTAAATTGTATTCTGTTTTAATTACAATGGCATTTTAAGCTGTGCTTTATGGCTAGCGAAATCTGAACTTGATAGCATAGCTAAGCCTTGTCAATACAAATACTCCAGATCCTTAAAAAAAAAATATGTTAAGTGAAGGTGAGATGTAAGTAAAATTGTGTGTGTGAGAGAGAGAGGTTTTTTTCTTTGTTTGCTGTTCCTCTTTCTTATTTTCTCCCAACCCCTCTCTCTTCTTTCTTCCAGACAGGATTTCATGTGGCTAAAACTGTCCTTCAGCTCCTGATCCTCCTGCCTCCACTTCCCCGGCTCACCACCACACCTGGTTTATGTTATTCTGGGGGAGGAACTCAGGATTTCACATGTCTGGCATGATCTCTCTACCCACTGAGTCACATCCTCAGCCCCGGGAAAATTCCTTGTTGTGCAAAGCTCTGTGGGGGAGGGAGGAGGAGAGGTAGTGCTGGGACTTGAACTCGGGACCTTGTGCGTGCCTGGCAAATGCTCTACCACAAAGCTACATCTCCAACCCAGTTCTTTTTTTTTTTTTTTTGAGACAGGGTTTCTCTGTGGTTTTGGAGCCTGTCCTGGAACTAGCTCTGTAGACCAGGCTGGTCTCGAACTCACAGAGATCCGCCTGCCTCTGCCTCCCGAGTGCTGGGATTAAACCCAGTTCTCTTCTTAATGACTATCCAAAGGCATATAATTGCCATCATGATGTCTCTCTACCCCACCTGCCAGCTCCTAAGTCACTTTGTGGTCAGCTTGTCCCCAGGCCTCCAGCTGCTCCCCATCACTCCTTTATGGCCCTATTGTTTTGCTTCTACCAGGAGGTTACAGAACCACACGGGGTGCCTGCGGAACTCATCCATGTAGTTCTGTGAGCCCATATTTGCCAAAGAATATTCCATTGCATAATATGGTGTTATACTTTGGTAATTCATTCCCCTGTTCAGATGCGGTTGGGTTCATCCTGTTTGGGGTGATTATGAATTAATAGTAATTGTAATTATAAATTAATAGTAATTGCAATTTGCCTTCAGCTTGTTGTGTTAACTTTAGTTTTCTTCCTTTTTCTTTTCTTTTCATACTGTGACAGAACCCAGACAGAGCAAGTAATTCACCGTTGAAGCCACGCCCTCAGCCCCTAGCTAGGGGATTCTAGGCATGTGCTCTACCACCAACCTACATTTTTTACCTTTTTTCGCTTGTTTGCTTGAGACAAGGTTTTCCTGTGTCACTCTGGCTGTCTGAAACTCACACTGTAGACCAGGCTGGCCTTGAACTAGGAGATCTTCCTGCCTCTGCCTCCCAAGGGCTGAGAGGCCACTACCATTGGGCTACCTCTTTTAATTTTGTAAGACAGATTTTGGCTAAGTTATTCAGGGTGTCTTTGAGTTTGCTATCCTGCTTCAGCCTCCTACACGACTCCAGGCCTCCCTCACCAGACCTGGCTTCAGTACACATTTTGTTTGAATGCTGTTTTTGTGTATGAGCGCGCACGCGTGCGTGCGTGCGTGCGTGCCTGCGTGTGTGTGCGTGTGTGTGTGTGCCTGCGTGTGTGTGTGTGTGCGTGCGTGTGTGTGTGTGTGTGCATGTGCGTGTGTGTGTGTGTGTGCGTGCGTGCGTGCGTGCGTGTGTGTGTGTGTGTGGTATATGGCCATATGTGTGAAAGAATGTGTGCCTGTAAACACAAAGAGGCCAGAGACGGATGCTGGGCATCCTGCTCTGTCCCTCTCCGCCTTTCCCCCGAGACAGGGTCTCTCACTGAACCTGGGGCTGCACTGGAGCCATCAGTCCCCTCACACCTTCCTACTACCTCTGCCCTGGCAGCACCGGGGTTATGGGTGTAAGCAGGGCCACACCCCAATTTTTTTGCTGAGTACTTGGGATTTAAACTCAGGTCTTCGGGATTGCACAGAAAGCATTCTTGTTCATTATCTCCTCACTCTTCGGCTGTAGTTATAAGAAACTGCCAAGAAGCTCACAACTGTCCGTGTAACTCCAGTTCCGGGGGGTCTGGCACCCTCACACAGAAACACAGGCAGGCGAGACACCAGTGCACATAAAATAAATATAAATCTTAAAAAAAATAAAATAAAATAAAACCTGCCAAGCTGTTTTCAAAGCAGTACTGCCCCTGTGCATGGCATCAGCAACGTGGGAGAGTTCCAGTTACTCCACATTCTCGTCATCTATGAGTGATGTCGGTTTTGTGGGCTTGGAAAGCAGTGTGGAGAGATGGGGAGTAATAGCCATTGTGGTTTTAATTAACCTCCTAATGACCTTTAATAGTTTTGTATAGATTTTACTTATTTTTAAATTTTATGTATGTGAGCCGTTTGTCTCTTATGTATATCTGTGCACCATGTGCGTGCAATGTCTGTGGAGGCCAGAAGATGGCGTCAGATCCTCCGGGACTGGAGTTACACATGGTTGTAAGACCCCTTGTGGGTGCTGGAAATTGAATCCAGGTCTTTTGGAGAAACAGCCAGTGCCCTTAATCACTGAACCAGCCCTAGAACCTTTTCAGATGATTGAATTTTGTTATTGTACTTATTTCTTTTGAAAATGTGTGTGTGTTTCCTGTGTGCATGCAGGTGCACATGCCATAGCACACATGTGGAGCTCAGAGGACAATTTTTCAGGAGTCTGTTCTCACCTTCCAGCCTGGGAAGGAAATTTTTCTATTGTTTCTTCTGCTTCCTGGCTAGTCTGAGAGCTGCTAGCCAGCTTTCCTGTCTCTGCCTCCCATCTCACTAGGAATGCCTGGGTTAAAGGCACACACTTCCACACCAGGTTTTTTTAATGTGGCCCCTAGGGGTCACACCCAGGTGGCCAACCTTGCACAGCAAGTGCTTTTACCTGCTCCCTCATGGGCCTGCTGGCTACCCAAATATCTTCCTCAAAGACAAGCCTGCTCATATTCTTTGCCCTTTTTTTTGTATTTTTTTTTTTGGATGATTTCTCTAGCTGTTTTTACTACCTCTGACCCAGTCTCAAACAACTCCCTGGGCTGGGGGAGCATGGGACAGTTGGTAGAGTCCTTGTTTAGCACCCACAAAATCCTGGATTCCAGTCCTTGCACCTCATGAACTGGGTGTGGCGCTTGCGTGCTTGCAATCCAAGCACTGAGGAGGTGGATGTGAGGTGGGGTGGGGGGGCTGGGGAATCAAGAGTTCAGGGTCCTTCTTGGCTACATACTGGGTTTGAAGCCAGCCTGGGCTACACGATATCCTATCTCAAAGAAGTGTAAGTAAACTAACTAATAATATCTGCCAATTCACTACAGATTTCTTGTGGCTGGCTCTGTGGCTGGAGTTAGGTCCACTTTTTCCAGCTCCTGCTGTGAGCTCTGAAGGTAAGGTGCTGGGTATTGTGGGGGCTCTTTTGTTGGCAGCAGGCTTTTTCTCTTTTCTTTATAGAGTACACGCTTTGTCTGACAGCTTAAGCAGGTCCTCTAGACCCAAAGAGATCCAGAGAAGAATTCAGCTTCCCACATTTTCATTGTTCAAGGGCCCTTTTTAAAAATGGGCTCTTTTCTTGCCCTCTCTATGGTAGCTGTCAATATAGCCAGTGAATCACTGTTTAAGGAAAAAGGAATCACAGACACTTAAATAGATGTCTAGACTTGCCAAGGTCAGGGTGAGCTGGCTCTGCACGCTCTTGATATCATTGCTATACCGTTTCTTCCTTCCCCGCAGAGGAGACAGAAGAAGAGAAAGGAAGAAAGAGAGCGAGAGAGAGACGGAGGGAGGGAGGGAGAAATTATCTTTTATTTTTTCCTGCTTCAGCCCCTTCTGTGTTCAGACTCAGCTCCTGTGATTTGTCTTGTGTGCCAGACCACACTGACCTTGAATTTTTGGCTATCCTTTCGCCTCTGTCTCCTGAACGCTAGGATGGCTGGCTTACACCACTACATCCAGTTCCCAGATCCTTAAAGGACCCAACACACTCCTCCCATCCTCTTTAGCCTTGCCTGCAGCTCTATTGGTGTAAAATATACAGGCATACATCAAATTAGCCTCTTCTAAGTGTGTGGTTCAGTGGCGTTAAAATATTCACATTCGGACTAAGGAGATGGCTTGGTGGGTAAGAGCATTTGCTGTACAAACATGAGGACCTGAGTTCAAATCCCCTGCACCAAATCTAGGTATGTCTGGACACACACTTGCCACCCCAGAACTATGGGGGCTGGGCAGGAGATGGCTGGGGCTTGCTAGTCACCAATACAGTTCCATGTCCAGTGTCTCAAGGAACAAAAGCAGACGTTAATAGAGCAGGACTCCTAGTGTCCCATGAATAGGTTGGGTGGGGGTGGGGTGGGGTGGGGTGCATGCCTGCATACACGGGTGTACCTACATCACACACACACACACACACACTAAAATTTTTAAATTCACACTGTGGTACAACCATCAGGCACAGTGGCAAGTAATTCCAGCACTGGGGAGGCTGAGTCAAAAGGATTACCCTGAATTTAAGGCCAGCCTGAGCTACAAGAAGAATTCCAAATAGATTAGCCTGGGCTACCAATGTAAGACTGTCTTAAGGAAAGTCGGATAGCAAAGGAACACTGTGCTGTCACCAACACTGTCCATCTCAACTCTCCAGCCTACACTGAAGTTCTGTCCCCACTGAAACACTATCCCCCGTTCCACACCCTTGCCTCCCACCATTCTACTTTTAGCCTCTGTGAACGTGACCGGTCTTTGGGCCTCATATAAGTGGAACTGTAGGAGCTGGGTGGGGGGGATGTGGCTCAGTTGGTAGAGTGCTTGCCTAGCATGCATGAAGCCCTGGGTTCGATCCCCAGCACTGCCCAAACTGGGTGTGGTGACACATGCCTGCAATCTTAGCACTCAGAGGTAGAGGCAGGGGGACCAGAAGTTTTTAGGGTCATCCTCAGCTATATAGTGAGTTCCAGGCCAGCGTAGGCTACATTAGACCCTGTGTTCTTTCAGGTCTGGCTTATTTCCCTTGATGTTGTATCATCAAGATTCATCCATGTTGCAGCTGGTATCACATTTTCCTTCCCTTTCAGGCTAATATTCCCTTAGATGTATGTACTCTGTGTGTGTGTGTGTGTGTGTGTGTGTGTGTGTGTGTGTGTATTCTTTTGTTTTTTCAAGATAGGGTTTCTCTGTGTAGTTCCACTGGTTCTGAAGCTCACTCTGTAGACCAGGCTGACCACTCCCAGAGATTTGCCTGCCTCTGCCTCCTGGATGCTGAGATTAAAGGTGTGCACCACCACCAGCTGGCTTGAATTCTTGACTTCATTTCACATTCTAGCTATTGTGAGTAGAGCTGTCATGAACACAGCTTTCCTGTATGTAAATACCTCCCTCACACCTTGAGTTCAGTTCTTGGGGATATGCCCAGAAATGGGATTCGGTGTCTGATGGTAAAAGTTGTCTGTGAGTGCAGTTGCACTATGTACACATGGGTGTTTGTGTGTGCTCATGTACACCGAGTCAGGAAGAGCTCAGGTGTCACCCTCCAAAATGACATCCGTCTCCTATAAGACAGGGTCTCCGTAAGGCCAGACTGGTAACAAGCCCCAGGCATCCCCCTATCTCCACCATCCCTGTGATGGGATGACAAGCATGTGGCACCATTCGGGCTTTTCTCTCTCTCTCTCCTGGCTTCTAGGAATTAAACTCTGGCCTCCATGCTTTCACAGCAAGCAGTTTAGTGACTGAGCCATCGCCCCAGCCCTCTGTGGTTGTTCGTGGCAGACTCTCACTATGGAACTTGAGTTGACCGAGTACTCTTAGGAGATTCCCCTGTCTCTGGTTACTGATCAATGGGATTACAAGTGTGTGCCACCAACCAGTCTTATGCTGAACTTTAAAAACTGTGTGTGTGCCTATGAACACCTGATTTCTGACGAAGAAGCTAAAATTATAAAATGGAAAAAAGAAAGCATCTTCAACAAATGATGCTGGCATAACTGGATGTCAACATGTAGAAGAATGCAAATAGATCCATGTCTATTGCCATGCACAAAACTCAAGTCCAAACAAATCAAAGACCTCAACATAAAAACAACCACGCTAGGGCTGGAGAGATGGCTCAGCAGTTAAGAGCACTGGTTAAGACCTCTTCCAGAGGTCCTGAGTTCAATTCCCAGTACCCAAATTGTGGTTCACACCCATCTGTAATGAGATCTGGTGCCCTCTTCTGGCATGTAGGTATACATACAGCCAGAACACTGTATACATAATAAATAAATAAATCTTTAAAAAAAAAAACAACACACTGAACCTCATAGAAGAGAAAGTGGGAAGTACACTTGAACACATTGGCACAAGACCACTTCCTAAATATAACCCCAGTAGCATAGACACTGAGAAAAACAATTAATAAATGGGACCTCCTGAAACTGAGAAGCTTCTGTAAAGAAAAAGTAGTTTCTACTCAAGAAACTAGACATCAAAAGAACAAATAATCCAGTTTTTAAAAAATGGAGTACAGACCTAAACAGAGAACTCTCAACAGAGGAATCTAAAAAGGTTGAAAGACACTTAAGGAAATGCTCAACATCCTTAGCTATCAGAGAAATGCAATTCAAAACAACTCTGAGATTCCATCTTATACCTGTCAGAATGGCCAAGATCAAAAACACTGATGACAACTTATGCTGGAGAGGATGTGGAGTGAAAACTTGTACAGCCACTTTGAAAATCAGTATGAAGATTTCTCAGAAAATTAGGAATCAATCTACCTTAAGGCCCATCACTACCACTCTTGGGCATATACTCAAAGGATGCTCAATCATACCACAAGGACATGTGCTCAACTTTGTTCATACCCGCATTATTCACAAGAGCCAGAACCTGGAAACAGCCTAAATGCCCCTCAACTGAAGAATAGATAAGGACAATGTGGTACATTTACACAATGGAGTACTACTCAGTGGTAAAAAAAAAAAAATAACAATGACATCTTGAAATTTGCAGGCAAATGGACAGACCTAGAAAAAGCCACACTGAATGAGGTAACCTGTACCTAGAAAGACAAATATCATATGCACTCACTCATAAGTGGTGGCTTTTAGACATAAAGTAAAGAATAACCAGCCTACAGTGCACAACTCGAGAGCCTAGATAACCAAGACGACCCTAAGAAAGACATACATTGGTCTACATAGGAAGGAGAAAAAGATAAGATCTGAGAAAATTGGGAGTATGGGGGGCATGGGAGAGGGGTAGATGGGGAGCGGGGAGGAAGGAAGGGGAGTGGGAAAATATGTATAGCTCAATTAAAAACAGTAAATTATTGAAAAAAAGTATGTGTGTGTGTGTGTGTGTGTTCAATATTTCTGGGACTGTTGGCTTTCCCCCATCTTTCTCCTTAAACCTGCCTTACTTAGGCTGGCAGTTTCTTAACCAGCAACCCACAGCCACTTTGACCACTGTTTTAGTCCAACTCCATGGCATCCAGGGTGACTCTTTTACAAGCACATGGGTGTGCTTCTCATGGTTCTTGGGGTCCTACACAGCCCTTCATTCATCTTGTTCAGATGAATTGGTTGCTCTTTCACGGCCACGGTGACCTTCTGTCCATCCCTCCTGAGTACAGACTTCCAGGGGTTAGCACGCGCACTCTTTGGCTGTAAGCTCTCCTCCCACACTTCGCCTCCAGCCCCAGCCAGTGTCAGCGCATCCTCTGAACACTGGTTCAAGAATCCTCACTTGGGGAAGAGGCTCCTCAGCCTGCTCTCACTGTCCTCCCCTCAATCAGGTTCCTTTGCCACAGTTTCCCAGGTCTAGTGACTTGGGCATGTAATCCTGCCTAGCTACTGTAAAGGCTGAGGCAGGAGCATCTCAGGTTCAAGATCTACCTGGGTCACAGCGTGAGAATAAAGCCAGTCTGGAGAACTAGGTGGAACATGATTGGAAATGGAAAATACAAGAAGTTCACGGTGGGAGGCTGACAAGATGGCTTGGCAGGTAAGGGGGCTTGCCAGCAAGGCTGAGGACCCAAGTGTTATTCCCCAGGTCCCACGTGGTGGAAGGAGAGTTTCTCTCTGACGTGCACACACATAATAAATAAAATATTATGTTAAAGGGGTGGGGCATAGCTCAGTGCCAAAGCACTTGCTGCACGAGGCCCTGGATTTAAGCTCGTACTGAAAAACGTGAAAATGGGAACCCTAGAAGGGTGTGCTAATGCATGCCTGTCTAGCTTTGAAGGTGGAGACAGAAGGACCAGGAATTCAACTTCAGCTACAGAGCCCAAGGCCAAACAAACAAACAAACAAACAAACCCAATAGACCAAGCTAAAACAAAGCAAAACCTAAACCAAAACCAAGAAACTTCTGTCCCCTGCCTCTCAAATACTCTTCTCTCTCATTGTAACCCTCCTGAGAGTGGTTCTCAATCTGTGGGTCGTGACAACCCCCATCCTCCCACCCCTTCCCCCGATATCAGATATTTACATTACAATTCATAACAGTAGCAAGGTTACAGTTATGAAGTCTGAGTATTAGGAAGGTTGAGAAGCTTTATAACAGGATCAGCTCCCCTGTTTGGGTTAAGAATGGGAGCTCAGTAGGCAGGAACGTTTCTCCTAATCTCCCTTCCACCTGCCCTTGACCCGCCCCCTCCCGCTTCCTTCTGGCCCTGGCCCCAACACTCTGCTGCTCACGCTGTCAGCATACACCCTGTATGACTGTGAGCATGACATTGATTTCTATGGATCCTTAATTCATATCAGTCTCTTCATTAGTCCTGAAGTTCACTGAGGGCAGGACCTACATCTCTATTCTCATGATCATTATTTTAAAAAATTCTTGTGTGCGTGTGTGTGCACTTGAATGCATAAGTGTGTACCTCTCTCTCTCTCTCTCTCTCTCTGTGTGTGTGTGTGTGTGTGTGTGTGTGTGTGTGTGTTTTGGGTTTTCAAGACAGGGTTTCTCTGTGTAACAGTACTGACTGTCCTGGATCTCGCTCTGTAGACCAGGCTGGCCTGGCACTCACAGAGATCAGCCTGCCTCTGCTTCTCAAGTGCTGGGATCAAAGTGGTGCACCACCATAGCCTGTCTCTATCTTTTTTTGTTGTTGTTTTCTCAGTTTTGTTTTTGTTTTTGTTTTGAGACAGTGGCTCCCATGAACGTGGAGCTCATTGATTGGTAGGCAGGCTGTCCAATGAACTTTAGCGATCTGTCTGGCTCCACCCTAAAGAGCTGGAATTACAGAAGCTCTCAATGGGTTTTGAAGTTGGTACTAGGGAATGAACTCCAGTCCTGGAGTGTGAATGAATCGGGCACTTTACCAAGCAACTGTGTCAGTTCCTTCATAGTCATTAAGTGTGAGAAAACCTGCGCGTGCGTGCGTGCGTGTATGTGCGCGGGTGTGTGTGTGTGTGTGTGTTCCTGAAGGAAGCATTGACTGAACTAGCATCCCAGTGCAGAACCTTTAAGTTCTCAAGGGATGCAGATGCTGCCAAATTCACCATTTACCACCGTCCATCTCCAGGGTGTCCATAGTCTCTAGGAAGCAGCAGAGCTGTTCACCTTAAAGGAACACGGGAAATCAGGCGTGGCAGTGTACACCTGTGACTCCAGCAAGACTCTGGGAGCCTAAGCCAGAAGGGTCACCAGTTGGAAGCCAGTCTGAGCTACATAGCAAGAGACCCTGTATGAAATATTAGTTGATTAATTACTTAATTAAAAGGGCTAGGCTTGGTGGCACACACCTGTAATGCTTGAGCAGGAAAATCATGAATTTGCGGCCAGCCTGGTCTAGGTAGCCAAACCAGGCCAGCCTGGGTATGAGATAGCGTCTCAAACAACAAAAACAAGGACCAACAAGATATCT